AATAATTAGAACTTAATAATGGAATAAAATTGGATAAAATAATATCTGTATTTATTCCTTTATCTCTTTTACTATTTATTAATGAAACTATAACTCTTCCTAATGTAGTAAATACTTCTTCTGTTTTAATTGGATCAATTTTAAGAAATTCAAAACAAATATTTAATACTGAAATAATAAAAGGTTGTTCAGAACTATTTTTTGATAATGAAGAAAGAATTTGATCTCTTTGTTCAGTAAAAATTAATTGAATTTTTTGTAATAATTTAATAGAAATTGGTCTAATTTCTTCTGTTGTTCCTTTAGGCTCTTTAGATATTTTAGTAATAGCATAAATAATGTCATTAAAAATAATATTGCTAGTTGTTGATATTGACTCAACAATTTTATAAGTTTCTGATATAGCGCTAATAATAACAATAACATTTGAAGAAGTAAGACATTTTGATAATGAATAATAAAGTTTATAATAAAATATTTTATCAAATTGAGTAATAGAATATTTAGAAATATAAATCTTAACTAGTAACATTAATGACATATTAATTGATTTACTAAATAAACGATGGTCTTTATATATTATTGTTTGATATAATATATCACAAAAGATTCGATATATATCATTTCCTGTAAGATTTGTTCCAATAAGAATATCAATTAAATTACCAATTGCTTGAATTAAATTATAATGAACATCTGCTTTTTGAATATTACAAATATTACCTATAAGATGCATAAATTTCATATAAAATAAGAGAAGATATTTTGGTGTCATTGAACATTTAATTTCAAATGAGTTATAAGCTAGTGTTATATCAAATGATTCATTATTTTCTTTTGATAAGATTTTAATTAAACGATTTTCAAGAGTTATCATTACATCTTTCCAAGAACTAACAACTGATTGATTAATAATCCATTTGCCATAACAATTAGTTAAAATTTTCCATAATTCAATTTCAGTTGGTTGATAACATATCCAAATTTGACTAAAAAATCTTATTAATTCTGTTATAACTGCATAATTCTGAGAATTAAATACATCATCCATTACTGCAACCATCATTCTAACAAATGTATTTTCAATTGAACTTGAACGAATTAATTTATATAAATTTTGATAAATAGAAATAACTCTTTTACATAATGCCTCATATGATTTTTGTTCTTGACTTGATGGTTTATGGGCAAATACAAAGGTTAATTGTAAAACAATTTTTTCAATATAAAACTTGTAATTATCTAATATTACTTGTGGAACTTGTTCTTGTTTTATAAACCATAATCTATAATTTATATTATTGTTTATTCTCTTTTAACATATCTTAAATTATATTAAACAAACTCATAAAGGTCAATGCATTGATTCATTAAATTATGATTGGTGAGGTCCATTTTAAATCCCGCTCCAATAATTTCCATGATCCATGAACAATGACAAGGTGATTGACAATGAGTTTTGATATCCAGATTACTTTCAAATAATTGTTTACAAAGTAATGAAACAAAACCAGACTGTATTGTTTTATCAAATGTATTTAAAACATCTGTATTACTTTCTGGATTTAATAAGTTTAAAGAAGTTGCAGTTTTAGTAAACATGTGACTGTCTTTTAATATTTCAAAGATTTTTTCTAAACGTTTATTCGTATTAAAATTTTTCTTTATTGTTTTTTAGAAAAAATAAGTATTTTTGTTCCCCATATTTATTCTTTTTTTTTTCCCCTTATGAAATTATTATTTTTTATCTTTTTTTTTTCATTATTTTACAAATAAGTTATTTTATCATTTTATCTTAAATTTAAGATATTCTAAAAATATATTGAAATTTAATGGTTATTACGTCACTTATTTATTCATATTAATAATTAAGAACTGGTAATAAATAAATTAATTTTGATATTATCTTTTCTTAAAATTTTTAAGCTTTTTTTAAATAACAAAAAAGTAAAAAAAAAATGGATTAAAAAACACAAAAGGATGATGTTATTTAATTTCTTTATTAACTATTTCATCAACCACTTTGTCGACATTGTCCAATGGATTTAAAAATGACCTTACTCTCACCTCTAAATGGGTACTACGAATAAGCTCATCACGAGCGTGTTTAGGAATAGATAAGACGATTTTTCTTAATTGATTCATTTCACGTTCTTTTTGTAATTTAGCAGATATCAAATCACCATTAGCCCGTGCCATTTGTTTTTTAATCCCTTTAATTGCTCGTTTAGAAATAGCATAACGAATTTGTTGTTTCAAAAAAGCAATCCTGTCTTCTGTGATTCTTTCAATGTCTTCAATTTCTCTAATTCTTGCATCTAATTTAACAAGTTTATCTTCTATTAAGAATCTTTCGTCCAACATATTTCTGTACATTTCATTTGTAAGACATTTACTATGACATATCAACACAAAGAGGCACACTATTAACAACTTCATAATATAATGAACTTAAATTATTTTTTTTTTAAGATATTTTTTATTTTTTGCTTTTTATTTTTTGCTTTTTATTTTTTTGTTGATTTTTATATTTTTTTATAAATAAAAAATACCTGAAGATATTTTGAACTATTAAAAGAAAAGAACAATTAATAGATATCAATAATTAGATTTTCATCATATTGAGAAGTGAATAGATATTCCTTCAATACATTTTATTTCGTTTGAAATAAAATTATTTCAAAACTTTCATTTATACTCTTGTCTGAGTTTAAAACTAAAGAGTGTTAAATTTAGTTATTGTTTACAATGTTGTTTTAAGAGGGGTATAATCATAACACTATGACTATAGCCCATCTCCTTTATCCTTGAAACTACTAACAGAACCCATTTTTTCTTGACAGCACATCATATACTCAAGAAAATTTTCACTAATAAATATGTCCCATAATAATAAATAATATCTTTCCTAATAACCATTTGTAATAAATATTAATAACAACCCATTCAGTTTTGAGTAAGAATATTATCCCACTAACGACAACGACATGACCAGATGATAATTAATGATTCGAAGATTGGATTTATTTTAGAGTTCCATCTAGTGATTCTGACGTGCCACCATCGAATCTATCTTTTTTTTACAAACAAAAAAAACTAAATAAATTAAAAACTGTTATTTTTCAATTTTATTATGACCCATCTTCTTATTGCTGGAACTTCTGCTGCACGACCTATTTATGGAAGAATGACTACTTCTACACTGATATACACGAATAATGGTGAGGATTTGTATTTAGTCGATTGTGGAGATGTTTGTATTAATATTTAATAAACCCTTTTTTAATAAGTATATAAATTAAATTATTTAGGGAATTACTAATGTATTAACACAATTTGGTGTTCCTTTAGAGAAGATACGAGGTGTTATAATTACTCATTCACATTCAGATCATGCAAGTGGTATTGCTGGGTTTGTTCATTCAGTAGTATTTGGAACATCAGTAGAAGTTTGTTAAGAAATAAAAAAAAGCAATTGTATTTATATAATTTCTATTTTCAATATATTTAAAAATAAAGTGTAATGTTCATCAGTTTAGTTAATTATTGCTGCCCCAAAAGGAATTCAAAAATTGATCGATGTTGTTTTTGAATATTCTGGTGATACAGTTCCTAAAACAGTCTCTTATATAGATTTAAGTGATGACCAAATTACTCATTTCTCTATTAAAAATACTTCATTTACAAGTGTCCCAATTCCTCATCATGGGTCTATTAAAGGTCATGGCATTATTTGTCAAACTCATTACACTAATCATCAAGACACATCAATCGCAATTACTGGTGACACCAATGACTCTTCTTTACTTGCTGAATATATTGTTCAACAAAATATTCAATTAAATATATTATTACATGAATGTACATTTGCAAGTGATCTTAATGAAAACGCATAAA